TCTCCTTAAAAAAATTATTCCCTCCTCAGGCATCATTAGGATACCATCTCAGTTTGCCAGACTATGCAAAGGTTGGTTTGAGCATTATGTTCACAAAATTAAATACTGTAGCCCTTAAGCTTGAGACTGTCACTATGCATACAGTTTTGAAGACCATAGTAGGGTCATAACACTTCAATAGAAACTGAAGGTGACTTTGCAGAATATGTAATTTAAATATAAATATGTAACCAGAACAGGGAAAATGTCCTTTGAAATATCGGATACCCTGGAACACAAGTATGACTCCAATTTCAAGGTGCAACTAATTAAAGGAAATGATCAACCATCAGAGTGAATGCCAATATTGCATAAAACATACCACTTCAAACAAAAGCCATCATATGTAACAACCAGCATCTCACAGTCCTCATCTTTGCAAATTACCTCATGACATTAGCTTAATAAAACATAAAATCTATTAATAATGATCTTTTAAAATAGCCAATTAGAAGACTGTTTAAAACTGTACAAAACCTCTTGATCTTTTGCATAACAGAGAAATAGAGTGTATGAACTCAATATCACAGCCCAGTATCATGAATAATCTTTCCTATTCACATATCAGCTGTCCCTCAAGGCAACTTTAAAAGTAAGTAGTGTCAAAAACGTCATGGGGATCCATTACATCTAATATGTAGCAAAATAGGGTATGGCTTTAAAAAAAACCAAAGAACACCACCTCTTCCCCCAACCAACCTAACTCTCTACTTCAATCAAGAACAAACTGCATTAAGTTATTTTCTTCTCTATGCATCACCAGATAAAGAAACCTCAAAGCAGAAAAACACATTTCCCTCCCTGAGTTTGAAACACTTCAAAGATTAATTGTTTTTTATTTACAACACTACATACATAATTATGAGTTAAGGTCAATTTCCCATGGCTAGTTGTGGAGCAAAAGTGTAACACACCTTTAACTCTACCGTCATGCTTAATAGTCAGGTGAAACATTGCCAAGTTACAGGAAATCCAGAATTAAAAACAACCGGAGACTGCAATTCAGCTCCCTCCATTAGACTGATTACCTGCAAGCACTTCTGACAAGATATATTTTCAAGACCATCCAAACAGTTAAGGATTAAAACATGCGAGCTTTGAGTGTATTTAGTAATATCTTCAGTGCTGAGATTCAATTATGCTATTAATATTTTCTTATTTCACCCTTTAAAATAGTATCTGAACACCTTCTGGAATTTATTTTATTTAGTTGGAAAGTTTATCCATTGGTAACCTTCAGCAATTTAACAGATCCTCTAGGAACTTTTTACTCTTTTAATTGCATTATATTGCCCTGGGGATTTAGAGGTAGTGTTAAGAAACAGAAGAAACCAGCACTATTACTTTAACTAATCTGATTTTTCCTCTTTCTATGAGCACCTACTGGCAACAGCTTCTCTTGGGATCATTTGAAACTTACACTTACTGAACATTAGACAAATCCATATTTAAAGGTGGTCTGAAAGCAGTACATGGTGTAATTTTTAAAATCGGTAGATCCACCAACTGCTTTAAGAAACTAAATACAACGGTTTTGGGGTTTTTTACTACCTTCCTCCCCTCCCCCGGATTGTGACATTAATCTAGAAGACTAAATGTTTTTATTCCTCTCAAACAAGGTCAATTTTTCTGTTGTTTAGAATATCCCCCATAAATGTCATCTCTTTTTCCAGTGTTCTCCCACTCCAAATGCACTAACATTGCTAGGAAAGTTCATAACAATATGCCCATTTCTGACAAGCCTGATTTGTGGAGGCCCCATACAGGAAGGGTATCATTGGAGGCATCGGTTGTCTTAGTGTGTCCTTCCTGTGCTAAATTCCTCTATTTCCTTCTCTTTGTTTCCTTAAAAATGCATTTAGAAAGCAGCAGGTACAACTGTTCCACCCTGCCTTGCACTAAGGAGGTCAATGATTAAAGTGAATCCTTTTGCAGAGTCAAGATTTTTCAAATTCCAGACATTAGCTCTGTATTCTTTTGATAACAAAGTTTCTTAGTGTTTTGATGATATTTCAAAATGATAGAGTTGGTTCATTTTCACCCAATATTTCATCAAGATATGAACGTTGAACAATGATTTCCAAGGAAGTCACAGGATTTTTAAATTAGCTTGAAATTAAACTCCAAAATAATGTGTGTTCCTTTAAAAACAAACTATGCAAACAGGCAGTTTGTATATCTATGTTTATCTTTCTCACAGACAGATTCTATTATATGCCTATGATATATTCATGGTGCACCAGATGATATGCTGTACTATCCATAAATGTTTATGTTTAAATATTTTCATATTTTAGGTTTTAAAAATAGCTGGGCATTGTCTTAGCTGAGTACTTATATTCATCATAAAGTGGTGTCACTAATTTTCTAAAAAGCCATTAATATAATATTAATATAATCCTAGCAAGTACGCTTTTTTTTTTTAAGATAACCTTATGCAGCTTAAAACTGAACCAGTCTAAATTACTAGACAGATAAAGGCATTTTTCAGCACATTATTAACTGAATTTTTAATTGTTTTGTTTCTATAAATCAGTATACTTTGTACATTAAGTTTTAAATGAACCTCCAAATTTTTAAGACTTTGTCTACCTGGAGTTGAGGCTGATCAATTCTTCCAATGCTGGCACCAACATTCTGTCAGTCAAACACTTAATTAGTTTACCATAGGCCAGGAAAGCAGTTTTCTTTTATTCCGCCTGGAAAAAAATATTGGGTCCGTCAATTTTTTCATAATCTTTTAAGCATAATAAAATAATTCATTATGTTATCTTTGTCATATTAGGGATACATCAGAACATTCACACAAAGGACTGAAGCATAACCCATTCGACTCTGTGACTTACTCCTAAATTTGTAATACAGCATCTGTAAAAGTGAATAGGACCATCTATACTTTATTTATTTGACAATTCTCTAATTATCTATATTAAATTCTGAATTATATTCATTTATTACAATTCAATCAATGAAGGGATATATTCATGTAAGGTAGTCATTTCTAAAAACTGGCATTGAAATTTGCCAAATCAGAACATCCAACAGTGGAAAATGAAATACATTTTAGATGACTTAAGATTCAGAGTTGTATTGTAGTAGGAAAGAGAGCTTAAAGTTGCTTTTGAATTAAATCTTACATTACTGATCACTGTTTTCTTGTCTTACTATTAACTAGTAAAAAATACAGAGATTGCAGAATTATGAACTACTGATCTATTGTTGATTTTTAAAACTGAAAGGAAAGTAGTTGATTATTGCTGGGTTTCACTGATATGAAAAATCTCAGTCACCACAATAGAATCCAATTATGTTTCTAAATGAATACAAAGTGAAATGTAAAACAATGCAAAGGCTATATCTTTTTATTTTCATTTTGAAAATCAATTTTGATGTAATAACCAGATAACAAGCTTTTTTTGAAAAATACATACACTCTTCATTAGATCTAAATATGTTGCAATATACTCATTCATATCAATTTCATTATATACTATTGTCTGCAAGAAGATACCTCTATGGTTTAAACAAGGAACAAAACCATACAGTCTCACTAATCTGTCATATCCTAGCTCCCAATTCTATTAAAAACAGAGTGCATGATCTCTCACAAACTCACTATCTCAAAAGAATGGCTTTATAGTATTATTGTATGCTATGATAATTAAGAGGGTATGTAAGCAAGATTCAGAAAAATCATAAGTATCTCAAAAACATGGAGATATTTATACATCAGAGTTGTGTGTTTCTAGGGGGATGCAGTTAATAGATGGAAATATATGAGGCAATAAGGCCAAGTATGGCTACTGATACAGATAGTCTCCAAAACACAATAAAAATATATTAGGCAAAGAGTCACTACAAGTTTGACAAGGCTATGAGCTTCCAGATACTGTGGAACTAGCTGAGAGAATTACACTGTTATGTTACATTTTGATTAAACAAAGACTGTGCATGGCTCGCTAACTACAAAAGCATCTCCTCCTCTCTTGGAATTCACACCTTCAGATCAGCTACTAGAAGTGGGCCTCATCCTCCCTGATTGGATCCACCTCGTCATCTCCAGCCTGATTCTGGCCTGCATATTTATACCTGCCTCTGGAAATTTCCAATTCATGCATCTGACGAAGTGGGTCTTTGCCCACGAAAGCTTATGCTCCTACACTTCAGTTAGTCTGTAAGGTGCCACAGGATTCCTCGCCGCTTTTGCAGATTCAGACTAACACGGTTACCCCTCTGATACTTGACTGTTATGTTACATTCTAATAGTATTTTCATAAAGAATGAACCACTTACTTAATTCCAGACAAAATACATGTTAAAGTGGAGTTAAGGATGTGAGTACATATAAATAATTTACGGCAAAATACATTAGCGTTGTTGTGATTACCCATACTCCAATCATCATAAACCCAGGGAATTCAATGTTAAATTCAGATGTCAAGTAAATCCAAAGATGATAAAGTATGAAAATTGAGTTAGGGTACCAAAATCTCCTCTGTAGTATCACTATGCACTATCCATATGATTACAAATAAGGTTTGTTAGTGTTCATGGTCCCAGATTAGTTTCAACTGAATTTTTAGATGAATATTCAATTTGTTTCTCTCTCTTCTTTCATAGCATAAATTCTCATCAAATTCATTCTACGGTCAAGATGTTAATATTCTCCCTAAGCTTATAAGACTATTTTTCATGTAAAGCAAAAAAGAGCTTGAGCCCATTTTAAGTGTAAAGTTTAATTCACCTTAACTATGCAGCCACAATTAGATACTCCATGATGCATGGTCATTATTGATGACAGAAATAGGAAATTAATATCGAATACAGCTAATGATAACACCTACCCTTTGAAAAAATTCACATGATCAAAACTCACCCCCTCAGATGAGCTTTGACTAAAGACATCCAGAGAATATTAGAAAGTATGAATATCAGTTCTTAGAATTAAAACTGTTCCAAAAGGAATATAACAATGACATTTCCGTGACATTTTTCATAGAATCATAGGACTGGAATGGACCTCGAGAGGTCATCGAGTCCAGGCCCCCACCCTCAAGGCAGGACCAAACTCCGTCTACACCATCCCTGACAGATGTCTATCTAACCTGTTCTTAAATATCTCCAGAGAGGGAGATTCCACCACCTCCCTTGGCAATTTATTCCAATATTTGACCACCCTGACAGTTAGGAATTTTTTCCTAATGTCCAATCTAAACCTCCCCTGCTGCACTTTAAGCCCATTACTCCTTGTCCTGTCCTCAGAAACCAAGAGGAACAAATTTTCTCCTTCCTCCTTGTGACACCCTTTTAGATATTTGAAAACCGCTATCATGTCCCCCCTTAATCTTCTTTTTTCCAAACTAAACAAGCCCAGTTCATGAAGCCTGGCTTCATAGGTCATGTTCTCTAAACCTTTAATCATTCTTGTTGCTCTTCTCTGTACCCTTTCCAATTTCTCCACATCTTTCTTGAAATGTGGCGCCCAGAACTGGACACAGTACTCCAGCTGAGGCCTAACTAGTGCAGAGTAGAGCGGCAGAATGACTTCACGAGTTTTGCTTACAACACACCTGTTGATACAACCTAGAATCATATTTGCTTTTTTTGCAACAGCATCACACTGTTGACTCATATTCAACTTGTGGTCCACTATGACCCCTAGATCCCTTTCTGCCATGCTCCTTCCTAGACAGTCGCTTCCCATCTTGTATGTATGGAACTGATTGTTCCTTCCTAAGTGGAGCACTTTGCATTTCTCTTTATTAAACCTCATCCTGTTTACCTCTGACCATTTCTCTAACTTGCTAAGGTCATTTTGAATTATGTCCCTATCCTCCAAAGAAGTTGCAACCCCACCCAGTTTGGTATCATCTGCAAACTTAATAAGCGTACTCTCTATCCCAATATCTACATCATTGATGAAGATGTTGAACAGTATGGGTCCCAAAACAGACCCTTGAGGAACTCCACTTGTTATCCCTTTCCAGCAGGATTTAGAACCGTTAACAACAACTCTCTGACTACGGTTATCCAGCCAATTATGCACCCACCTTATCGTGGCCCTATCTAAGTTATATTTGCCTAGTTTATCAATAAGAATATCATGCGAGACCGTATCAAATGCCTTACTAAAGTCTAGGTATATGACATCCACCGCTTCTCCCTTATCCACAAGGCTCGTTATCTTATCAAAGAAAGCTATCAGATTAGTTTGGCATGACTTGTTCTTCACAAACCCATGCTGGCTATTCCCTATCACTTTATTACCTTCCAAGTGTTTGCATATGATTTCCTTAATTACCTGCTCCATTATCTTCCCTGGGACAGACGTTAAACTGACCGGTCTGTAGTTTCCTGGGTTGTTCTTATTCCCCTTTTTATAGATGGGCACAATATTTGCCCTTTTCCAGTCTTCTGGAATCTCCCCTGTCTGCCATGATTTTTCAAAGATCATAGCTAAAGGCTCAGATACCTCCTCTATCAGCTCCTTGAGTATCCTGGGATGCATTTCATCAGGACCTGGTGACTTGCTGACATCTAACTTTCCTACGTGATTTTTAACTTGTTCTTTGTGTATCTTATCTTCTAAACTTACCCTCTCTCTGCTTGTATTCACTACGTTAGGCACACCTCCAGACTTCTCGGTGAAGACCGAAACAAAGAAGTCATTGAGCATCTCCGCCATTTCCAAGTTCCCTGTTACTGCTTCTCCCTCCTCGCTAAGCAGTGGGCCTACCCTGTCCTTGGTCTTCCTCTTGCTTTTAATGTATTTATAAAAGGTCTTCTTGTTTCCCTTTATGCCTGTAGCTAGTTTGATCTCATTTTGTGCCTTTGCCTTTCTAATCTTGCCCCTGCATTCCCGTGTTGCTTGCCTATATTCATCCTTTGTTATTTGTCCTAGTTTCCATTTTTATATGACTCCTTTTTTATTTTGAGATCATGCAAGAGCTCCTTGTTAAGCCAAGCTGGTCTTTTGCCATATTTTCTATCTTTCCTACACAGTGGAATTGTTTGCTTTGGGGCCCTTAACAACGTCCCTTTGAAATACTTCCAACTCTCCTCAGTAGTTTTTCCCTTCAGTCTTGCTTCCCATGGGAGCTTACCTACAAGTTCTCTGAGCTTATCAAAATCTGCCTTCCTGAAATCCATTACCTCAATTTTCCTATCTAGCTTGCTGATCAGTGGGTTCCTGACAATATCACAGACATTTAACATAATCCTATAAAATTAACATAACATAATTTCCTAACAACTGAAAATCACATTCCCATCCTAATGCATCTGACCATATATAAACGGCGAAATTCTTCTCTGATACACAGTGAATTAATATAATTGTATGGGAAGCGAAGCCCACATTCAAAGAGGTGTGGGGCACATGCAACTTCTGTCTATTTAAAACTGAACTTCATCAGGCTTTCATGAAGCCATTCTCTTTCAAAACTCTTTTCCCCCTCATTTCAGTTTTCAGTGGCAGTTGCAGATATGAGGGATTTCCAGGAATAACCTTATGTTAGGATAAATTTTGCTTAATAGGCCTTCAAATTAAAACACAAATTAGCATCTGAAATTCCCCAAACAAACATAGAAGCACAAGAGAGTTCCACTTGCACCAATGTACATGCTTGCAGATAGGCCCAAGGCTGAGACATCTGATGTTCTCTTTTCACTGCTCCTGGTTTATAGCCCAAAACAAGCT